TAGCACCTCAAACATACTTTTTACTGTTGTTAATTTCACTGTCAGTTACAATGATGAAGCACCATAGAAGTGGATTTATGGCTATTAACACAATTCACTGAGGTATGCTCAAATTTAGAATTACTAAGATATTATACCAAAGCAACCACAGAAATAAACATAAAATTAAAATCAAAACCTGACAGTAAGAATCTGAAAGACTGCTCTCTCATACATCTATTTAGAAAAAGTAATCTGTCACAAATGTATCTACTTAAAGAAAATGTTTTTGATTTAATTTTTAAAAAAATCACAATTAAAAGCCTTGCAGAAGTGGCCTTGCTCTCAGACTGTAGAGGCACTTAAATACATATTTGAACAATGATCATTTTACGAAGAAAGCATTAAAATCACATAGGCAGCAAAAATATCTTTAAAATCCATGCACTTGATTCTGTGCATACTAGAGCATTAGAATTTTACTATCTCTTCCTCTCTCATGTTTCAGAAAACCTGTGTGCAGGCCCAAGAAGAACAACTATATTAAATAAACTTCATGTCTTCAGTTAATTAGCAGTTCATATCTTAAAATGTAAGCTTGTAAGCTCTTAAAATATCTGTGGGGGAGGGTGGTGATCCTGTGGAAAAGATTTGAGCTGTATTTAGAAAGTGTTCAAGGGAGAGAATGCTGTGGAAACTAACATATATATACACACACATATTCCTAGCACTACATTTTATAGTTCTCTAAAACTGTTTTCCCAAATAATTCTTCTTAAAGAAAAAAATATGGGATGATCAATGGAATTAGAGTCTGGAGAAGAGAAATACAGATTTCTTTTTTTTTCATCAAACCAAAGGAGTATGCATCAGAGAGGCTCCTGTAACCCTCGTTAAGGGTTAAGAGATTTTTGGGGGGTCAAAATTAATGAAACACCACTTTCTTGAGAGTAAGTAGACTTTCTGAAACGTAACTCTGGTGTTGGTGTTTCTATTGGTTGAGTGAACAGGGTAAAAATGTAATGGGCCTAAGAGGGAAAATTTCATGAAAAATAATATGGAATAGGTGACTGAGGGAAGTTGGGAAGGTCAGAGGATGTTCCTGACATACTAAGGTAATTTCTGATCATCTTCAAAATGTGCATTTTGGGAGAGTGCCACTATGGTAGACAAAGGACTCCTAGTGAACTGTACATCTCACTCAGAGTGGCATTTCTTAAGCTCTTGAATAAAATCCTTACAGCCCAGCTAAATCGTACCAGTTGAGGTAATGCTCTAAATTCTTCTAGATTTCTACTTAATACAAAGTCCAGTGGTGATACAGCTAGTGTTATACCAGCAGACGTGACCTTAGACATTGAAACTCTTGACTCTTAGAAGCATCATCAGGTATTAACCACGTCATCACTTCAGTTTCTGCTCTTCAGCTGATTTCAGGAATGGTTAAGGCTTTTCCTCAGAACCATTTTGAATAAAAACGGCTGAATATGACTTAATATAATACTAAATTCAGCTTCAGTGCAATGAACGTATTTATAGGAACACCTACTCTATTTACATGAAACAGCCCTAGTGGTTCCACAGCTTATAGCACAACTCAGCCAAAGTATTATTTTAGCACAGCTGATCCTTCTGCTTGCCAAGAGCTGCCCCATAAGTTTGCATAGTATTTACAGTGGCAAACCTGTCTCACCATGTCAGTTGCTAGCTAAGTAGATAGCAAAAGATGAATAGAACCAAAGCAAAAAATGTTTTGTTTTGTTTTTTCTATTCCTGTCTTGGTGGAAGAGAGAGAACATTTCAGACACCTTGAAAGGCATCGGGTCACTGACTCCACTGTTGATCTTTTACATTTTCCAAATGATATCATTCTATTTTGTGGGCACAACCTTTGTGGTGATTATGTTGAGAGTTGTACCCAAGTCACACAGAGGCAAATTACAGTCATTGAAGAAAAAATTGCTTTGGCCTCAAAAAGCAGGAATCTTCCCCCAGAAGTCAAAACTACCATTGCTTAGAAAAGGAAAGAATGTCTGCTCTTGAGTTGTCCGCTGAAATCATTATCTATGTATCTACATAGTTCTTCTAGGAAAAGGAAGCTACTTCTTGGCACCAGGTCCTGTATGAGGTACTCGTATTCTGTAAAGTCACTTTGGCAATGTCATAAAAAGTTAATTCTATTGTGCGTCAATAGAGAGAAAATAACAGACCATTTATAGCATAGTTTCTGGAATGCCCTTGTGAGGATGACAATCATCTCTTCCAGAGGACTGTCCCAGAATACCTTGGAAGTAGATAGTTTGGTTAACAAACATTAATAGTTAGGGCCGTACCGAGCTCCAAGGGCCAGTACTCCAGGCAGCATCTTGCGGACAAGCATGTGTGTTACACTGCTCACGATCAGGAGGTTTGTCAAGAATTTCACAGCTCAGATCTGGAAAACGTTCACCGTTGGACCGCTGACAGACCACCAGTCTTGTTCGCATGCCTCCACCACACAGCTTAGTACACTGGAACAAGGAAAAGGAAGGCAGTTATTTTGTCTGAATGGCCAATGATAAATTTTCTTTTCCCATGAGAAACATTTATTAGCCAAACTCTATTATGGCATTGAGCAAGGTTTGTCTCTGATAGAAGCAAGTCAAATTTTCAGCAGTAATACATGCAACAAACCAAAGCTCTCCTACCTTAAGGCTAGGTATCCTTTATCGAATGCTTCCTCTTCACCCGTACTAAGGGATTTTATGTACATTATCTCATAAACAGGAGAGTATAATTATTTGCCCCCCTTTATACATGAGGCAACAGAGGTTAAAAGTGGTTAATTAACTTGATTAAGGTCAATCCATTAGCAAGAAACTAAAATAAGACCTTTTGAGGTATATAAAACCAACACACACACAAAAAAGAACAAAAATAACTCAAAAAATTGACTCAATACCAAATAAAGGAGATAATGACTTAGCTGGTTTTATTTTCTGGCAACTTCTAAGAAGCTGTCACCAATCTTTGGCTATACTCTGACTCCAATCTCCATAGGCCTTTATGATGCTGAAATATTTTACTCTGTCTCTGAATCTTAGGACAACTATGACTTTCCCTTACAATGAATAAACACCATGGTGGGAATGTTGGATAGAGTTCTGACTCCTGGCTAGACCCAAACTCATGAGGCAGGAACAAGTTGTATTTCTTGGACAGTGCTGCTGTGCTCACATCCAGGAACGCTGACATTCTGCTTCCCCGCTGTGTCAAGGCCAGATCTCCCACAGAATTTGGAATGATCTGGTCCGTGCTGACAGCAAGCATCCCAGAAAATCCGTGTACTCTCCTGGCTTGGTTCCAATTACAGAAGCTTAGTCATGGGCCCCACAGGACAGAACTTTTTGAGGAGTTTTGGGAAACTCACAATACACGAGTTTCAAAGCCTCCTTCTCCTTCCTTCCCTTCAGCAACGCTCTCCAGAATGACTAATTGTCAATGAAAGTCAAGAAAAATCCCTGTTATGCTCTGCCTATGACTACTAGGTTAAGTGAATGAAACCATGAAAGTGGACACATGATTTCGGTTAGCAAAGAGTGTGGACTAATGTGCCCATCAATCTCATCTGTTTTTTTCTTCCTCTTGGCACTGGGGCCTCCAAGGTGTTAATTCTCATGTTTTATTTGATAAATTTTATAAAACATGTATCAAAACAGTACAATTCAACAAGCTTCAAGTATGTGCTCTCTCTGCGGACTAAGGAATAGAGAGGTATATTCTTGGTTAATTAAAAACAAAGCAATAAGGGCTGGCCCCGTGGCTCACTCGGGAGAGTGCGGCACTGGTAGCACCGAGGCCGCGGGTTCGGATCCTATATAGGGATGGCCGGTGTGCTTACTGGCTGAATGTGGCCCAGAGAGGGTTGTGATCCCCTTGCCGATCAGGAAAAAAAAAACGTAGCACCGAGGCCGCGGGTTCGGATCCTATATAGGGATGGCCGGTGTGCTTACTGGCTGAACGTGGCCCAGAGAGGGTTGTGATCCCCTTGCCGATCAGGAAAAAAAAAACACAAAGCAATAAGCATCTAAGCCCTACATGTAAAAGAGGCTCAAAACCCCAATTGGTAACAATAGTACTATGAATGATAATTATTCTTAACATTAATAATGTTAATTATTACTATTATAATAGTTGATTGATGGCTATGTGCAAGTAGGTATTAGACAGGCACTATCTCATATCATAGTCATGAATATTATAAAGTTGGGGCTGTTATTATCCTCATTTATAGATGAGGATGTAAACATTTGGCAAAGTTACATTATTTGCCAAGGTCAAAAAGCTCATAAGAGCTAGGTTTGGGAATTGGACCCAGTTTTGTCTGCTCTAAATACTCCACTGCCCTTCACCGGTCATAGAAAGCAACTCTGAAAAGGGAACAGCTGAAGAACTTCACTGTTTGAGAATATACAGCTAACAATTCACTTCTATGATTAAAACACGTCATCTCTGATAGGAATAATAACACCTATTCATTCTGGCTTCATCAGGGATTTGGAATATTTGGAGACGTTATGCCATGGGATCAAAGGTGCATCTTAAACACCCCAAAACTGAAGAAGATGGCAAGACTTTCATGGACTAGTTTAATGCATATATTCAATCACTTTAAGAGCACCCACTTTTTAATCCTCAGAGGTTATCAAATAACTTAAAACAGCATTTATCTGCATTATTTCCTAATTTTCCTCTCTTATGTATTCAAGCTGTTTCTCACTGATAATAAGTGCACTTATAAAATAGTCCAGAATTAAAACAGGTCTCCCAAATCCAGAAGCTTCTACTAGGGCTAGTTCTTCTTCCTAAACTAAAATATAAACCATAATACAGTTTGGTTAGCCCAATTCTTCTGTGTTCTTTCCAAAGGAAATACAGATAGATGGTTCACTCTCACCTCTCCCCAGCTGCCATACGCCCACTGAGGACAAGGGCCAGATTCACAGGCTCTTTGCTCATCGGGTTTTATCCTCTCCACACAGTCGTTCGCAGTGTATCCATTTTCATCCTGACACACCACAACACGCCGCTGGGACCCGCCAGCACAGGTACTGGAACACTGAACACATCCGTCAACAAGTTAGTCCCCACCTCCATCTCCATCTTAGGGACACAAAAAGCAGCCAGTTGAAAGGTCAGAGACAAATGTGATGGAAATGGTTCGCAAGTCATCCACAATGAACAAAAAGCAACGAGGAGAACTTGAGAACTTGCCTGTCGTGGGGTTGTTGAATGTACACATCTTATAAACACACATGGAGGGCATGCTTCAGGCCCTCAGCAGGTGTTCAATAAATACCTAATGAATGATAATGTCTTGTGACTTCCAAAACAGTCTGATTTATTGTCCTCCTTTATCCCTTCTGCATCTCTGAGAGGTACAGAAGTGTTGATGGTTACCAAAACTTCCAGTGCTTATTTGGAAATAACAGTGGACTTCCCTTTCAACAGAGAGGTCAAATTACATGCTTAATGAATTGCCAATTGTTGAAATGAAGCTTCCCTGTGAAAGCATCATGGAATGTCATTTAGACATCACTTCCTAGCAGGTAAATGCTCCCTTCTCTCTTTACAATAGCCTCTACTTCAGTGGCTAATGGTAGCAAGATTTGTTTTCTTTTTTGCTTCCCCAATGAACTTAACTGAATTCCATCCCGACAAACCTTTCTTAAGCTGCACTTTCCGTCTCACTGCTGTCGTCCTTTTACATTTGCAGTTCAGATTGTTTCCCACACAAGCTTCGCATAGCTCTCTTATTTATCTACACCTTGAGTGTTTTTTTCTTTCCATACTTTCCTTATCTTTTAAAATCCAATGAATTTCTTAGTATCCTTCACTCTGGCCCTTAAGTTGTAAAATCAGCTTGCCTATAAAATAATCATCTGGTCCTCAAAGCAATGTAATTCCTGCAAATTATCAAGCCTCAAAATGCATTTTTAAAGCATGTTTTTAGTTCCTGGTTCTGAAGGCTCATTTGTGCTTTCTATCTAACCCAAGCTCAAGCCAGTGTTATTTCAAAATATGTGCAAACACTGCTTCTTGCTGGTCAGCGTCTTCCATATCAAGATGTGAACACGTTTTTATTGCTAACAGCATTGGATCACAGTTCAATTTCTCTGCCTATGCCGGTCAAAGCAGAAGTGATTTTAAAATGTACCCTAATCAGTATCTACAGTCTCATTTTATACTGGGTTTAATTTTTAAAATGTAGAGCAGGATCATAGATTTATTAGTTCTGAGAGAACATTTAGGTATTTTTCAATGAACAAAAATTCTACCTCTATTTCTAAACCTGAAAATATTTGTCTTCTTCTTTTACACAGCTTAGTACCTAATAAAAAATACATCAAGCAATTATTTTAATCAGCTTCTAAAATGTAGAGCAGGATCATAGATTTATTAGTTCTGAGAGAACATTTAGGTATTTTTCAATGTACAAAAATTCTACCTCTATTTCTAAACCTGAAAATATTTGTTTTCTTCTTTTACACAGCTTAGTACCTAATAAAAAATACATCAAGCGATTATTTTAATCAGCTTCACTTAGGGATCAGAATTCAAAGTGTTAGAAAGAGACTTCTATGTTGTAAATAGATATGTAATATGATGGTACTTCAAAAAGTTCACGGCAAATAGAACTGGAAAATATTATGAATCTTTCCATGAACTTTTTGAAGTCCCCTCATATATATTTTGGCCCTTCAGTTTTTCCTTTAATAATATAATGATTCCTTTATTATGTCACCTGTGAGCTTTACGGCCCCAATAAAATGGTAAGCTCCTTGAGGGAGGGCTTGATGTTGTAATGTGTGTCCCTGTGATCTCCCACAGTGCTGGTCACAGGATTTGCTGCCTGGTCCAATTCAAGTTTCTGGAAGGAACAGCTGTACAAACAGTATGGCTGACTGGAGCAAGGACGGACACCTGATCCAAGGCCAACCAACCCACTGGCTGCCCAATGACCGGTCAGATGCTTCCTACTGAGGATCCAGCTGACGTGATGGCACTAGCTCATTGAACTGTCTGAACCTGGGGCCTGCTTAGGCTTTTATACCCTCATAGGCAGGGGAAGTGTTGCACCTAATCTTTCTCTAGGTCTACTTTAGCCATTATTTGATTAACAGGGATTCTTAGTTCCACTTCCATGTTTCAGAATTTCACTCTGAACTTCTCTCACTAACAATTTTTCTGTCCTCTTTGGATGACAACATTTTCCTAGGTAAACACATCTTTGAACAAACCCTGTAACTATTAATGAAATGTAAATGATATTTGTTTCCCCACTGGACAAAACAAGGGAGACAGTCTTTAGAGAAGCAAGGGGTGATGAACATCCGTTTATCTTTATCTGCCCAACATACTTCCTCTTACGTCTGGCAGCCCACTTTTCCTTTAAGGAACCATTCCTTCCCTGAGTAGATGCTATCTCGATACATTAAATCACTCTGCCCTACTCCAGTCAGAGGGTGGGCAATCAGACTTTCCTGGGAATTTGAATCCTCAGCAAAATAACTCAAGGGTGGTACAGAAAGGCCCCAAAGAAATGATCCCTGAGTTATTACCCCTCCATCTAGATCAGGGGTTGACAAACCATAGCCCAAAGGCCAAATCTGGCCGGCCACATGCTTTTATAAATAAAGTTTTATAGGAATACAGCCATGCCCACCCATTTATGTATTGTCCATGACTGCTTTTGTGCTACAACAACAGAGCTGATTGGTTGCAACAGAGGTTGCATGGTGACACAGCTGAAAAGATTTACTATCTGGCCCTGTGAAGAAAAAAACTTGCCAACCAACCCCTGAGTTACATGCCTGAAGCCACTCCAGTCCCTGTCTCTACTTGGGCTAAATGAACAGTCTTGTTTGTTAGTTTGTTTCTTTTTTCACTTGAAAGAGTCGGTTTCTTTTCTTTTGTTTGCAACCAGAGACTCCTAATTGGTAACCCATAGAAAACCTCGCAAAGGATTCAAATTTATGCAGGAATCTACTACAAAATGAGGTTCTTACTCCAGGATCCACTGAAAACTTTATATTCCTGTTCTCTAGTGTTTATAATACTTTGCTGCCTTTTCTGCCATTGAAGGCAGGAAGACCACGTACAGTGCATGTACTTTACAATGAAAAGACGCAAGTACATCCTTCATACTCCTGGGAGTAGGTCAGACACGTCAAGCTAAAGCTGAAAAATTACATTGTCCAGCTTCAGCCTCACTTAATTTAGAAAAAATATATCTTTAAACAAACAAACAAACAAAAACCAGGCACAATGAGGTATTGCCCATTACTGAGAAAAGCCTATCTAATCCACCCTAATTGGGAACTCTGCCCAAGGGCAGAATCATTCAATCTTAAAGGAATGCATCATTCCCAAATGTAGTCCTAAATAAGAATAGCTTTATTATTATTATTTTTAATCCTAGTGCTATCATTAGAATACACATGTGTGAGTTTTGAATTTTTCCAACCAGGAAAAACCATGAGACATTCAGTGATTGCCACCCCTGATCACCCTTTAATTTCTTAGAGCTGAAATCTCTTCTAAGCCAGGCAAATGAAGCCTTAAAGTGGGAAGCAAGAGAGCAGGGTGACATGGTGATGGACCTCAGCCCTCGGCAGTTGTTCTGCACACAACCAACACTTGCAGTGCGTGTAATGCTCGGTGGCTAATTACAGGAAAGTACATCTAACCTACTGAAACATAACCATGGTGGGAAGTAGACAACTTGGTTCTCATTCTTTTTAGCCCAGAAATAATTAAACACAATTAGCAGCACTAGAAGGAAACTAATAGTAAACGATTAAAAAGAAGACCCCTGAGTGATTCGTGAACACTTTCTAACTACATCCTACTCAGGGTCCCTTGCTACCGTCCCCCTCCTGCAGTTAGTTCCACTGAATATGTCCAGTATTCCACAACCTAATTTTCTTTTCGAAATTATTAAATAAAAAAATCTGAAACATCCAAAATCATACTTTTTTATATTAAATATTTCTCAAGGCCTTCCTAATTTGAAGGATAATGGTAATAATGAACACAATTGTCAACATTTATTAAGTTCTTACTCTGAGTGCAAAGCACATATTTGCATCATCCTATTTAATTCTTACAGCAACCCAAGAAAGCAGGAATTATTGTTAACCTCGTTTTTACAGATGAGGAATCTAAGGCCCAAAGAGGAGAGGGGACCTGCCTAAGACCCCCAAATTTGAAAGTGTATGTTTCTTGATCAAAGCAAGGCATCTTCCCTCAGAGCCTGTGCTGATAACCAATAGGTTATGGCACCTCTCCCCTAAGCACAAATGTTACCTACACTAGTATTTGGCCCCTAATGCAGGACAATGATCTAACACTACAAATTACACAGCAACTGTGCTACTTTGAGACTGCACTCGTCTGGACAAACAGCAGGAACTCGCTTTCAATTAAGAACTCCCTTTCAATCTGGTATATATACATAGTGGAATACTACTGAGCCATAAAAAAGAATAAAAGCCTGTCATTTAAAGCAACACGGATGAGCTTGGAGGACATTATGTTAAGTGAAATAAGCCAGGCACAGACTGAGAAATACCACACGTTCTGACACATATGTGGAAGCTAAGAAAGTTGATCTCATAAAGTAGAGAGTAGAATAGTGGTTACTAGAGAATAGAGGATGGGGTGGGGAGAGGTTGGTTAAGGGATACAAAATCACAGCTAGATAGAAGGAATACATTCTAGTGTTCTATAATACTGTAGAGGGAGACTACAATTAAAAATAATTACTCTATGTGTACCTAGTAGGATTTCTAGTAGGATTTTGTATGTTCCAACACAAAGAAATGATAAATGTTTAAGGCGATGAATATGCCAATTACCCTGATTTGATCACTACACATTGTACCCAGGTATTGAAATATCACACTATACCCCATAAATATATACAATTATTATGTCTCAATTAAAAATAAAAACAAACAAAAAAAAACCCCCTCTCTCTTTCAGAAAAGTTTCTCTGTCCTCTTAATTCCCCTCGGGCATGAGTTGCCTATTGCCTGTAGGATCACTGATCATGGCTTTCACAATACCTTCCCGGAGGCCACCCGAGCTTGTCACCCAGCAGTGACACCGCCTCCTCCACCCAATCATGCAGCTTACAGGTGCAAACAGGCATTATCTTCATAGGGCACCTTTTCAGGAGCTGTCATTAACCTATTATGGTTTACCCAAAGCAAATGAGAATGCACAATGTCAATCCCTTAGGAGGAAGAAAATGCTTTAAAGGCGTTTCTAGTCTGTTTTCCCCCAAACCCTACCTCACATGAAAGAGAAGCAAGCAAATTAAGGAAAGACTGCAGTCAATACTCACT